TCCTAATGTTGAGGTGGAAACTCTTTTCCTGTAGCTTGCATCCATTGTTCCGGGTCCTGTTCTCTCGAGCAGCAGAAAACAATGCTCCTCTGGAAAATGTTGCTGCTGTCTGTTCAAGTCTACATGGATGGAATATAAAGTCAAATACAGACACAATGGTTTAGATACTATCATTAATCTTGAGTAGAGCAGACCTATTGAATCAGTTGGATTTGGCTCTGTTTTCAGTAATTAGTTAATTATTTAGTATAATTAGTTGAGACTAACCAACATGATTCTAGCCAAAATTTGCTTTGACCTTATGTTGATATGGAGAAATTAGATTATTATTAATAGTTTGTGAATGTGTGTGATTAATTTTAGAATGTTCCCCTAGCCTAGGGAATTTAGCAAATAGTTACCACATACAGTAATCATTTTAACAAGAGACAGAAAACAAAGAATGTGATGATAAAGAAATCAAATCTTAATTCAACAACATTCAACTATGTTATTTTGTGACTGGTGCACTAATTTCTTCTTTTCTTTTGTGTGAATCAAACAAATGTTTCTTTTCAAACCAGCTACATTTCTGGATATAAATCTATGATCATTTAAAATCAGATGGACTTTTGAGAAAGAAAGCAACCGACAGATCTTTGCTTTAAATGACCAGGATACTATGGTGTTTAGTTTCCCCAAACAGACAGGGTTTTTCTACTTTAACAATTTGGCAGTCAGTGAGAACTATGGCACCTATAGATTATGTAAAAATATGGTCCTATCCAGTAAAAAAATATTGTTCTGGGCAAATGTATTGATGTACTGAAGTGAATGAAACAAATAACTAAATGAAAGTTCCAAGTGTGAGAAGCAAAAAGTGGAAGAAATTGCTAAACTCACCAAAAAAAAAAAAATGTTGGCCAAGATCCTACACAACTATGCTTTGTGAGTTTATAATCTGTATCTATATTGCAGAAATGCAACAAACCCTTGTTAAAGAATTGCAAAGATGCACATCCAGGTATGGGCAAGAGTGCTTCAATGCATATCAGGTGCTTCCAATGCATATTGGGTACTTCTCACGCTCATTGGGTACTTGTGATGCACAATGGACATTCTTCCTTTTGCATCCTGGTGCTTCCAAGCCACTGGATATGTATCAGCAGTGCCCCAATGCACATCAGTGCCCATTACACATTGGGCCATGGCACATCAGTGACTCTATTGGCTACAATTGTGCAATGGATGCCCACATGTTGGAACGGAATGTTTTACTTTGCATCAGTTTTAATCTGTTGTACGCCACCCCGGTTGCTGAAGCAGAGGGGCGGGTTAGAAATAAAAATTATTATTATTATTATTATTATTATTATTGTTGTTGTTGTTGTTATTGTTATTAGTAACATCACAGCAGCTTCAGCTGAAAACAACATTCCCTCCTTCTGTCCCACCTCCCCTCACTACTTCCAAGCAGTCTAATTGCCTTTATTTTTTCCTATTTCTTTTCTGTTATTTTTTACTTACACCACTATAGCAGAGTTCCAGAACTGTATGAGTTAAAAGAAAAATAAATACAAATGAAACAAAAATACCGAAAGGCAGGGAGATGGGGTTAAAGGGGACTCAGGAAAAGAGTGTGATGCAGCAGCAGCCTCAGTTGTGCAGTTTCAAAGACATGTTATATTGAGACTCTGAAAACCATATGCTTCTATTTTTACTTGGTTTTTTTTTTTATTGACGAGATTGCTGCAAGAACAGGGGCTGTATAGTAAAACCTTTAATCGCTAGTCTGATGCACACTTCTGGAATGTGTTGTCTTCCAGATGTTTCAGATCCATACCAGCCCTAGCCATTTGTCATGGTCATGGGCTGGGGAAGATGAGAGTTGTAGTCCAATATGTATTCAATGAAGCAGGTTGTAAAGTGTGCAGAATTTGGGAAAATGGCCTTGATGATGTAGATGATGATTTGTATAATGTCATTAAAGCTGAGTCATCTGAACAAAAGTGGAAACTTAAACTTCCAACTAGCTTCCTGTACAGAAAAGACATAAGCTTCTGAACTAATGAGTATAAAAATGGCAGTGGTCTGACTTATGTCTTAAATATTTCACTTGTACCAACTGAAGGAAGCGCATGGCCTTCAGGAAAAGAATACTTGTGAGAGACAGACTATTTAAAAGTGACAAGTGTGCATATTGCAAGGGAAGAAAAATATTTTAGCTTCATGTATAACACAAGAAGATACTGAAATTATGACTGATTTGGAAAACCAACTTGACATCTCCCAAGTAATATGAATAGTACAACATGTATAAATAAGGCTTCCAATTCATTTGTTTTATTTCTGTTGAGCACAAAGTTATTTTATTAACTAGAACAGATGCATGAATGCTTATACAAATTAGTGGGCCAACTCGACTTGAGCTAACAACTGGATTTATATGATATAAAATTGTTTTTACTGAGTATAAGCTGTGGTAGCTAAGGCTTTTATCAAACTTTTAGTGTCAAATTTACTTTTAAACATGATTAGTCTTTAATGATGTTTTAAATTTGGACAGCATGTTTAGCTGTTGAACATCTCCCAGCAGGTCATTCCATATTTCAAGGGTGGATGAGGAAAAGGTCCTCTAGGTCTAGTTTTAGCCAGTTGAAATAATAATAATAATAATAATAATAATAATAATAATAATAATAATAAATGAATGTCCCTGAGAAGAACTGAATGTATGGGGCGGATTATATGGGAAAACAATTGTATATAGAAAATAATATCCTACAAAAGAGGCACCCCCACTGCAAGTAATTTGGGTATTTTTTCTGTAGTTTTGTTTTTGTTTTGATTCTGTGTACCAAATTTTTGGGATTTAACTTTTATACTGCACAGTTCATCTAGACAGGATTATTTTTGATATAAAAAGATCAAAAGACATTTCACTCATTCATCTTCAGCAACTGGAAAGATTGTGTACATTACATGACACTACATGAGAGGGAAAGACACTGGTAACAGTCAGTTTTGCACTTATATAAAGACAGTGCCCTAATCATGAAATCTTTAGCACTTAAAAGGAAAAATGAATTTACTAATAGAGAATTATGTGGGCTGTATCAATCAGTAAGGAATCTGTTGTTTATATTTGCTTGGAGTGGGCAACTGCAGTGCACCTAGAGGCCCATTTTCTGCCTTCAGTCTCCTTCAAGAACTTCGGGGACTGCCCCAAATCCCCACCCCACCCGACCCCATGAAGAGAAAAAAATAGAAGTGGCCAGAAATCTGCTTTTTGTTTTGAAAAGTAGGTATTTCCCCTCAATATTAAGCACTTCAGAGAAGTCCCTACAATGTCTTTAAATGGTGAACTGCTGCAGCTAGAGACTTTCAGGAGAGATAGTTCACCCTTCTCTTGGCCAGAAAAAAAAAAAAAGCAGTCAGAGACCAGAGGGATCAAGACCCCACAAGAACAACCTTGGGGTGACCTCTTGTGGCTCCAGGGTTCCTTCCTGGGTTTATCTACAAACAGATAATGAATCTTAGGGTCTCTTTCACTTTCAGCTATACACTTACAGCACTGTGTAAGCTGCACACTTACAGCAATATGATTCCACTTAAACTGACAAAGCTGTGTCCTATGGATTCCTAGGGTTTGTAGTTTAGTCAGAGGCACTAGAGATCTCTGACTGCAAGTCCTAGGATTCGAGATGATGGCAGCATGGCAGTTGAACTGGAAACACAGCACTAGAATTACACTCTTGAGCTGTTGTGTATCTTCAAGTCATTTCTGACTTATGGCAACTCTATCATGGGGTTTTCTTGGCAAGATTTGTTCAGAGGCTGAGAGATTTGTTTCCTCTGAGGCTGAGAGAATGTGACTTGCCCAAGGTCACCCCATGGGTTTCCATGACCAAGTGGGGATTCATACCCTAGCCAAGAGAACTGCAGGTAATTGAGAGTACCACACAAGATACCATATAACACCACACAGTTTGGTTTCGAAGTGCTCTATAAGATGTCACCTCTGTGCACTGCTACTGGTTTTCCAAATGTTTAGGAGCAGATCTTACCCAAGTCCTACCTGCTAATGGTCAGAGATAGGAAGTAACTAATTAAAAACCTATTAAGTTATCAATTAAGTTGGAAACGGCATAGCCATTGCATATATGTAAGGCTGGCCTAAGCAGACTGCCAGAAATAGTGCACATTAAATTGAGGCA